TTGCATTTTAAAAAACATTTTTACATTTATATGTTTAACTAGGAAAATCCAGGCTCGTGCTCAAGTTCCTCAAAGTACCTCAAGCAATAACATTCGGGATACAGGTCAAAGTCACTTCCAATAGGCAAACCTTATCAAGCATCCATCATATATCACTTTCTTTATAAACTGCTTGGGCAGTGGACAACCTGGTTTGCAGCTGTAAACACTGTACACCAGCTCTATGGGTGACTGGGCAACTTTTAGGCAATGTTGCTTGGGCAATGTTGCTTGGGCAATGTTGCTTGGGCACTTTCAGTTTTGAAAAACTTTGATTGGCAGTGGGCTACTTTTCGTGATCATCTGGATCCAGAGGAGTGGCCCTTTGTCTCACCTGGCTGGTAGTTGCCCAGCAACATTGCTCGAAAAGTTGTCCCATGTATCATCACCCTCATACCGTAAAACAGACACACACCAGTTTGATTGCTTGTCTCCTGAGTTCCCATTCGTTCCATTTGTAGGACTTCACAATGTTGCTCTCTACTGGGTGGGTGTCCGTCTGTGTATCACCGTCACACTTAGCGACAGGCTGTGTCAGGTGCTTCCTCCCCAGCTGCATCTGCAGATGCAACAAAAGGGAGCGGAAACAGACTGTAGGTGGGTTGGGTGACAGATAGAAACATTACTGACCCAAAAGGAAATTGCAGGAATTATCCACTCTTCTCAAAAGGCACAGGTTTGGTGCAGAGCACCTCTCACCTCTGAATATGGAGTGACAGAAGAGAACTGCAGGTGGAGTTCTAGCAGCTGAATTAGCTCTGGAGAGGATTTTGCTTGCTCAGCTACCAACTCGATGCTCTCATCTGGGTTGGAGGCAAACTGACAGGCTGCCTTCTTGGAGCTGAAGACGTGATATTTATTCCTGTGTTTCAGGATGCCGACCGCGGGGTTACCTTGTCATAATTGAAACGTGAGTGAAACTGGTGAAGCAGTATGTTTGGGTTTTTTAAATCCACGGCGAAAAAATAAACTATAATATTCTGGCCAGAGATCCACATTTTTGTTTTATCCCAGTTCCCTGCACACCTGTAAGGTGTTCAGAGCTCCCGGTTGCTTGGGCCAGGTGTTCTGGGAACTGGGATAAAACAAAAATGTCGTTCTGTCCAGTGAGTCCTGAGTACTGGTTTGAGAAACACTGCTCTAGTAATTGTGGATACCTGGCAAAAGAAGACCATATTTTATAAGTGCATTCGCACACATTCCCTTGTACTGAAAAGGAAGTGTATCCGCATTAACTGTAGTCTCTGGGAAGAACCACTCTTGATTTTTGAACTCGGATGGGTCAATGCGATTGTCTGCACCAAAGACAGAACACTGTTAGTAAATGACCACTATTGGAATTGTATCAGTCTTTACAAATATAATTCAAAAATTCTAATGGATGAATGAAAGAATGTGCAAAAAAAACTGCTATGCAAAAATTCATCGCATGAATTCCATGATTTGTGAGTGGCAGCACAAGGAACGAGGATGCCAGTCCACTCCAGGGCACACATAGGCACACTATGGGCAAATCAGAGACACTAATTAGTCTAAGAGCATGCCTTTGGGCTGCAGGGAGAATGTGCAGAGTCCACACTCAGAAGAGGCACGGAGTCTGTCTAATTACAAATGTTAATGAACACCCCACTGCATCGTCCCTTCCCAGAATCACATGGGCCTAATACTGTCCTGGTGGAAACAAATCAAACTTCCTTAGACATAAACTGCCAGAACTAATAATATTTACTTGATTTGTAAATAATTTGGCTACTCTGCTCCCGGTACCTTTACTTGTCACACAGAACAAGAAACTGGAAACCACAATTGTTCCTTTCTATTAGCAATGTCCACAGCATTTACAGTGTTAATGAGAGCACAGTGTTGCAGAGGGGAGTAACGAATGGAGTGAGATTTTAGAGGGTAATGACCATCTTGGCGATATGAACTGAAGGCACCTGCAGATTCTTTCATTCTCTGCTCATCAGTCTTCACCTCCACACCCTCCAGAAAGATCTCCAGCTGATCCTTTGGTAGTTGCCATGATTGAGCACCCAGGAAGGGCTGAAGGTCGGCCACCATGCTGTTGAGAATACTCAGCAGGTACATCTCATCTTGAAGTCCTGACCACAGCTTTGCCAGAGCGGTGAAATGGGGCTGAGGGAGAACGTGCCACTAGTCACCAATAAATCTACCATCTCCTGTGAGCCAGTCGCTGTACAGGAGCAATTCACAGCAGATAAGTCAAGACAAGATACTTACGAAAACCTGGGCTGTGGGAACTGCAGTCTTTGAGTGGACAATGATCTTCAGCTCGTCCATCTGCGCGTGCAGCTCTGACTGCAGCGATTGTGTTTGCTCTTCACACACCCTAACATCCGCCTAGGGGCAGATGTGCCATACATTGGATGTTATGTTTCTTGGAGTAGGAGTCTTTTACAATGCTCATTACAACTACGCCAAATGTACTTATTTTACTAAACATTCCAATATAATTTATCACCTTTATAAAGACGGTTAATTTCACATAACTCCATAACTAATTTAACTCACCAAAATGAGTCCCAAGAAGGCCTCGTGTTGTCGAGCATTGTACAGCGCTTCCTTCAGAAATTCAGGTGGCACAGTGCCATCCTTGAGAGCGATCTCAGCGGCCTGCAAACCCTCCAGCAGAGCTATGTACTGGTAAGACAGGTTCTGAGATGCACCAGTTTCGAATTTAATGTGCTTGATGCTGGTGGAGATGGACTCATTCAAGATGGCCGGCACTGAAGAAGAAAGAAAGGACCACTTAGAAAGACAAAGCATATGTCCCCAGCTCTTGAATGAGCTCTAAGTGTATTTCACACAAGACGTCAGTGAAGCAGTATGTTGGAGCACATCTCCAATTAACGCTATTGCACTGATGAACTTAGCTTCTACTATATGCTTAGTGTCAATATCAAATACCATTCTCAGGGAATTACTGCTTCCTCTTGGTGAGATGGTTCAAAGTTCATTGTCAATGTATATTCAGTGTTTTAGCTCAAATGGCAATCAGAAACGCAAACAGTATTTTAAAAGTTGACGCTGAAAACAGCCTAGAACCTTCCGTCTGCAAACTTGCTGGACAGACAGCTTGTATAATTACACCATACTCCAGTGTGACCTTCATGCTTCAAGCTATAATATAGGTGCCTCACTAACATGGGCACACATTTATGGTGCTAATATTTGTATGTTCAACTGTCACGACATGTTCGGTTCATCCCCCAGTATGACCAGTAGGGACTGCTGCTGGTCCTCTGGATCCCTTCTAATTCTCCCTAATTGTGTCTTACTTCTTATCCCCAATCCTATTGTGCCAACTGTCCACATCTGCATTGTGTCAGTCCTTCGTTAGTCCTGTGCTTCAATTCCCCACTTCGGTCATTGATGTCAGTCCTCTGGTTGCCTGGTTCCCATCCTAATGTCCCCGTTTTGACCCCTTGCAGTCTGATTTGTATCCCTGCTCCTGTTCCGTTCAATAAAGCCCCTTTTGCTTTACTTAACACCTGCCCTCGTGTGCTTCACCTTGCAAACCACGACGTCAGCCTTGTTTAGGGAACTCACAGTCATCGATAGTGCTTCCTCCTTTTTTCCTGTCCCTGTTGAAGAGTCGGATCCCGGTGACAAGCATGCTGAGCTCCTCCAGCTGCTGCTCCTTGTCCTTCCTGCTGAGGGGTATGAAGACGCCCAGCTCAGGCTGGGGGAAGACGCTGCGCAGGGCGGCTAGGGGATGGGCGGATGGACGGACACACACACACACACACACACACACAGGAAGCCACAGGAGTGAGCAGGGACTAAAGCTAAAATCATGTCAGGTGTCAAGGCTGCTGTCTGACAATGTAGTTTTGTTGGTCTTTAACGAATAACCAAATTAGTTTATCTGTAAAATTTATGTAAGGAAATCCTTTAAAAAAAATCTAAGTATACATTGTAGGTAATATTGATAAAAACTGAATGAGTCTTATTTTACAGTTTATGGATGGAACCTGAGATATTTCACGCAGAACACAAATTCTATTTCAAATCCTCGATAGCGAAGCGGCTACCTGCGGCCTCTCGCACAGTGCTGATGTCCGTAGCGGAGCCCATTCTGGAGCGGAGCAGGACATAGCTGACGATCTTGCCGTAAACGGTTTCCAGCTCGTCACGGGACTTCGCTCGGCTGTCAGTGATCTCGCGAGTGACCGGGATCAGCTCAGCCTGCAGCGCGCGCCTGTGCTCTTTCAGGTACTCCTCTGAAGGCAGCATTACAATGAAAAATGACGCAATAAAAGATTTAGGGCAATACATTATAAGATGGCATCTATTTTGTCTTCAACTTAAATTCTGGTGAGAGGTACGGGGTAATCCCTACTTACGTCGGGAGGTGTAATGCATGTCAAAATAAGCCTGCATTTTGATGGTGTCCACAGAGGGGCTTTGCCGGTCCACAAGCCGCTGCACGCATCTCTGTGGAGATTACAGGTTAATCATGTAAAAAGTTACACCTCCAGTAAACCAATTTTATATATATTTTTTTTAAGTCAAAATAAATGGGTTTAGTGAATTTACTATAGGCCTACCTCGATTACTTCTTGGACATCTTGCTTTGTAATAGTCCGGTCAACGTTGAATTGATTTTGTGGATCTAAAACAACAGCTTTTACCTAAAAACAAATAATATATACACACAGCTATTTTTTTTGACGGCAAACAACTTACCGAGCAGTAACACTGCAAAGTAGATACACACGCATTTCTTACCATAAATGTAGCTAAAGTTTCTGATACGGTTTGGCCCTTGGCAAGGCATTCTTTGACAACTTCGCGAATAATACTTTTTATGATATTTCCAGCTGGAGCATACGACATCTTCACCTTGTCCTAAATACGTGACAGTTGAAAAACCAGCCCGGATTAAAAAGGCTAGTAGTCGGAACCAAAATGACGCGTGCGCTTCAGAGAAAAGCTGACATGTTTCAACTAAGAGAGAAACCTAACCATTAACGTAGGAAGACTCAGATCTTAACTTTTTCCTAATTTACACAAACTACGATTCCGCCCCCGTAAGCGCCGCGTTACTCCGCCGCTCTGCGCGCGGTTGCTATGGCGACCGGACAACAGAGCCCTGTGGATCTTTAAACGCAGTTTTTTTACGCAGTCGTATCATGCTTATGAGGGGAAACCCAAAAATGTGCAGGGCTCGGGCCCCCCAGGACCGGAATGTGACACCCTTGTCCTAGGGGAAACCCACATTGTAGTCGTTTTGTGCCTGCGACTTAGCAAGCCAATTTCACAGTCTATGTGTGACATGCAAGTGTACCATTTGCATATTGCCATGCAGTACAAGAAAACCAGCAAGGTGCTTAAAATATTTTATTATAAAAAAAAGGTAAATAAACATGACATTTCAGTCAAGCAAAGAAAAATCTGTGGGGAAAGGAGATTCATTCCAGCAGTACTGGCATTTTGACTAAACAATGAATACTTCCACTGCTATGAGATTTCATGTTACCCTTCATACCGAGAAATCACCAGATTACATTATAAGACCTGAGTTACAAAACATATTCAAAGCCAAGTCAGTGCCAGCACCAAAAGCTATTAAAAAAAAAGCTTCAGTGGAGTACAGAGGTATGTAAATACTGCTGAAAGTGCCATTGATTCACAGTAAAATGTGTCATTTTGGCAATAAAAAGTACAAAGCCTCAGGTTCTTGTATATTAGAAGTACCTACCTATTACCAAAAAGCCCCACTTCTATTATCCCAAATGCTGAAAACCAAACGTTTTGTAAACATATGGAAAACCCAGTCAGAAAATAAACCAATCGACCAAACTGCAAGAGGGATTTTTGAAATACAGAGAGTATGTATTGCGTTAAGTTATGAATAATTACCCAGTAAATACCAAAACAGATGTTAATGGTACGGGTTAAAGGTTAACCTTCCAGCCTAGAAAAAGTTCAGCTACCACCATACGCTGCATCAGTAAGACAACACACACTATAATAAAAATATATACAAATGTACACACATTTTAAACCAATCTAGCCCTTGGTATAGCCAAGTGACCACCGCTGTTCGACAATCAACTCCATATGCACTTATCCAGCAGTCCCATAGTCAAAGGGAGCATACAGAATGAAATCAGTGGCTTACCGACCTAAACATTAAGGAGGTTTAACATTGTAGCTCAGCCCAAAAGTATTAAACAGCCCAAGTGCTCAGTGAATGTGTCTGAAAAGCCTTTAAATAAGTATACAGTACTGCTGATGAAGTATTAGTGTGGCATAAGTACCACATTGGATTTTAGAGGAGTTAATCTGTCCAGTTTTATAGAATTATATGTATTCTCAATACCTCAATGCTATTTTAGTTAATATCCATGATCCGGGCTATTCTAGCACTCTTGAGGCACTGTAATGTAAAACTTTGCTCACAGTGTTAACCGAACTGTCCAAACACTGGTTCCGCACAATTTAAAAGCTTTGCTTTAAAAACTTGGCCTGAGGGCTATTGCACTTCAACTGGGGAAACGATTTCTGGGCACACAGGAAGGCTATGCTGTTCAGAAACACTTCCTGAAAACGATCTGGGGACCAAACTCCTCGTATTCCTCTTGGCTGATCCAAGCAGAGCTGAAGGAGGGCAGGCTGGCCAGCACAGCGCCCCCCGTCCACACGGAGGAGTCCCTGTCTGCTGGGCTTGTGACCCGGACACACTGGACAAGGTCTTCTGGTACCAAACTCCTGATCTCACTCTGCAGACGCAGGGGAAAGCCGGCTAGCAGCGTGTTCCCTCCTGTGCCGCCAGACATTAAAAAATACGAGAAATTCAGGAGAACGATCTGATTGAGATTTTTTAAATCAATGAACATCATAGGCACTTAAGGGCATTTTCCAAAGGCTATATGTTTGTTTTGGTTTTAAAGTTTTAAAACGTACTACGGAGCCATCTAACATATCTTGTTAGTAATATGAGCACTGTAAAGGCTGTTTCATACTTCTCCGTACGCATACAAGCGGACGAGTCACGTCGAACATTTATGACGCGTTTGATGTCACCTCCGCGGACGAACGCCTGCTGCACTCCAAACTTGTGTACGCGCAGCTCTGAACACACTGCACATGATCAATTCACTAGCATCCACTTTAAACACCAACACGGATGTTTTGGACGAGTGTTGGGGCAGTTTACAAACCCTGCAGACTATTTACAATGTAACAAAACTGTTACATACATGTACATGCGTGTATATGTGTGTGCAGACTTGTCTCACGCCAGCCAGCTGACTAAAGTTGGTGACCCTGTGAGCCGGCTCTCTGAATTTGTAAAACAGAGAAACGGACAGAAACCTCACTGCTGTGGTACATGTGCAGGGAATATCAGAAAAATAATATTATTAGTAATAATGAAAATATAAATACATGTTGTGTGCATGTGCAAAGTACACGGCTTGACCAGAGAACTATGAACGTTTCCGTGTACGCACACGCAGAGCGGATACGTGAGTTTTGCGTTTGTGCAGAGAAGTATGAAGCAGTCTTTAGCAGTTCAGTACTTTACCTGATAAGACTACGTTCCCTACGAAGCTTTTCCGTAGATCGATATCAGATTGCAGGATGGATTTGAAAATGCTCTCGTGCACGCCGTAGTGATCCCGCCCGATCAGCTCCGGCCTGAAGAGAATTTCTGGTGCCCTTCAATAAACAGATTGACAAGCGTAAGAGCGAATCTCCAAATGTGAATATGGAGTCATATCACTGGCATAAAGTGTCACAAGGTGATGTTGAACCAGACTATGCATACAAGGTAAATGCACGTATGCTTTTGCTAGTGCCATACTTGAAGAAGGGTTAGTGTCCCTGTGACTAGAAGGTTGTTGGCTCAAATCCCAGGGTCGGCAGTGATGTCACTGTGGGGGCCCCCCAAGAATGTCCCTTAAGCCGCACTTGCTCTAGGGACATCTATGCCCTGCTTTCTAAATTGTACGTCACTAAACATGGAAAATGTAAATATGTACTTTCCCTATTCACCAATCAGTTGTAGAAGGGGTCTAATCAGGGCCGGAGAGCCTGATCACTACCTGAACCGTTCTGCTCCAATGGTCACGACCCGGCCATCAGGCATAGTGTAGGACACACAGTCATGGGGCGACCTCATCACACGGGAGAGCTCTGCCTCGTAGTCCTGCGCCACACAGCAGCACTGCTCCTTCACCTCCCGCACGATCTCCAGCTCGGCGGACGTGTTCATGGTGATGCCTCGCTCCTGCAGCAACTTCAAAAACATCCCCGCCAATGCAACTCCAGTCAAAGCACGTTTTTTTGGAATTTTAAGAACAAAATCCATGAAAAGAAGGGAACGGCTACGTTTTGTGGCTGCTGACGAAATTTGCAAGGGAAACAGTGAAGCACCACCAAATTTTGTAATGAACCCAAATCAGAGGGTAAGTCTACCTTTCTGAGGTGAAGCGTGACATCGGCACCAGCCAGGGCAAAGCGCTGCACCGCGTGAGGGAGGCAGTAGCCCTCAAACACCGGAACACTGTGGCTCACTCCATCCCCAGAGTCGAACACCACACCTTCAGCAGAAGAAGGAAAAATGTTTACATAGCGCTACCCTGCAAGCCCACCACTAGGTGGCAGGGCTCTAAACAAAACATTTAGCAGAAACTTGAGTGACACAAGTGAGGATCAGGAAGCAGTTTCCCAGGAGCAACTGGGGTTAAGGGCCTTGCTGAAGGGCCCAACGGTGGCATCGTGCTGCCAGACATGGCAGTCTACGTTATGGCAATAGATGGAAAACTGCAATGCCTAAGAACGGTAGCTAACACTGCTGGAATAGAAGCTACCGTTTGAGATTTCCAGTAAAAGGTCAAACGAGAGGCAGACGGCCTGTAAGTGTGGCTGGCACGACGTACCTGTGGTCTTTCCCGCGGCGTAGAGCGCCAGTACAGCCTGCATGGCCACGTAGGCGTAGGGGACGCAGAAGGCCTCAAACATCAGCTCCACCATCCGCTGCCGGTTCTCGAGGGGGTTCATAGCGGCCTCGGTGAGGAGCACGGGGTGTTCCTCAGGGACCACACACAGCTGCTGGAAAGCGTGCTGCCAAATCTGAAGGCAGAGCAGGGATTAAAGGGGCAGCTCACCCCACAGCTGGAAAAGGATACGTTTTAGAGGAACTTTAGTGCTCTCTATGCATCTAGGTTGTTCTGCTGGGCCATGGGCCACAAAAATGTCAGGCTTCACTCGGATATAATGGGAGTGAAAGGCATTCTTTCTGTGGTCTTTAAACCTAGACAGATAGTTATGTTTTAGAGGGCCTTCAGTTTTGAGGTGAACCCCCTTTAAGACCTTTGGAGAATGGCCAGTTGTCCCTCGCAGGCTGGGACTGCGACGGACATGCGGAGCCATCATCACACGAAAGGAACCGCTGTTCCTCTCGCACGGATCCGCTTACCTTCTCCATCTCGTCCCAGTTCTGTACAATGCCATGCTTCATGGGGTACTTCAGGGCCAGAACCCCACGCATTTGCTGTGCCTCATGTCCAATGTAAGTCTCTCGTTCTGTACACCAAGTCATGACCTCCTGCAATTGCAGCCAAACTTACATTAATACTGCAAATACCACGCTGACCAATCAGTCGAGATTAGACTAATCAACAGCATCCTGTACTGAAGAATTTGTAATGACAGCAACCAACTTAATACTACAGAAATATTGATTAAATCAAAGTTTGTCAAATGCACAACAGTACAGCATCAGCAATAGATGCAGGCAAATGAGTGATTATTGTGCCTTCCTGCAGAATAAACTTTCACCGTCCATTTCATTCCGATGTTTGCCTATGGTTTGGACAGTATTACAGTCATACAGTATACCGTGGTGTTTTGGGTATACTGCAGTGTTTTTGTTTGGTGAAATTTATCGCCGTCAAATTTTATCCTGGGGGATAAAATACTGTCCAAGCTTAGCTTAGCCATGGCGCGTGGGGTTAGAGCGACGTCATGCAAGTCAGGGTCTACAAACATACACAGGTCCACGCCAGATTTTCGTTCAAAGTCAGAGGTCCGGAACAATTTTCCAATAACAAAACAGCATTTCATGAACTTCAATGAATTAACAATAACTTTCCATATAGGCAGCAATATGTAACAATAAAGGTTTCTTTTTACAGTAACGCTCGCTGACCATTTTGAATGTCTTTGGAGGGGGGTTATGACGAGTTATGAGTTTGCGAAGTTCAGTGGTTCTACGTTGTATTTTTGTACTTCAAATCACATTAAGCCTTTTCATGGTGATCATATTGATTCATAAGGTGCATTATCGGCTGGGTCGGATTAACTTGTGGTTCAGTCCGCATTCTGGATGGTGGTGTGGACTTTGAGAACCCCTGACGTACATTAACCAGGAAAAGATAGTGTAACCTTCATACCTCATACTTGGGGACTCCGATAACCGTTGGAAACACGGCCGTCGGGAGGTCCTGATCTGCAAAGCCTGCCTTCATCAGTCCAGACCCAGTATCCAGCACTACTGGAGTCTTGAATCCAGAGATCTACCGGTGAAAGTAAAACCGTCTTTCCTGTGATTGTAGATAGAGCTGTAGGGTTTGCCACAAGAGGCTATTTGGACATACACCAAAGATGACTGATTTTAATGAAAAACTGACAAACTGAAACAGCCCAGAGACCACTGAGCATGTCAGTTTGCCTCAGGTGAGATCACAAATTCAGTTTGTAACAAAGCATGCACTGGGCCAGTTACCACCATTCATTAACCTTGCGTTACGCTAAAGGTGCAGGAATCACATCCTACCTCTGCTGTACTGTGCAGGCTGACCGTGCTGACTGGGGACCTGCAACGCTGGCTGCTCCCCTGCAGAACGTACAGCAGCGTGCTGCTAGATGGATCTTCCTGATCCATCGGTCTGTCGGGGGCCAGACACATCCCCGGGGGCCCGAGTCCTAATCCCCCCTCCTCACAGTCCAATCCTGGCTCTTTCCCCGAGCAACTCGGGATGCTGCACATGGTCTGCATATCTGGGTTCTCAGAACTGGATTTATCTGGAATCACAGTGTTCGGTGGCGCCCCCTGCAGGCCGAGGTTGTCCGTTAGATGCAGGTCGTTATTGTTATTGCTGTTGCCCATGTTGCCCTCTGGGCCCGCGATCGCAGCGGCAGCAGTAGGTTTGTTTCTCCTCGCTTTCGGCTTCGGAGGGGTCCCAGGCTGCCGCCTTAAGCTGCTTTCAGGGTCGCCCTGCTGGCATCCAAGCGCATCGCTTTTTGGTTCCTCTTCTGGGGTACTTTGATTACTGTCAGGTTTGCAGAGCCAGGCTGCCTTCCTTGGCTTTGGCACTGGGGGCATCACTGTGTCACCCTCAGGGCTGAGATGTGGGCCTGGGGTCAGAAGGGCCTCTGAATTCAAAGACGCTGCCCTACCTACAAGCTGATTTTCACTCTCCTCCAAGGGCAACTGCACTGACTGTGAAGATGCTGATCCTGCGTCCCCATCCAAGTTGGGTCTCTCCGATTCCAATAATCCCCGAATTCCTTTCCGGCCCTTTTCGAGTGCACTCATTTTGGAGCTGCAGACACCAGAAGCAGGACTGATTAATGAGATAAAGGAGTCCATTTTATCACATGGGACTCCTAGATAAGCAGACATGTCTGTTCTGATGTCATCATTAAGAGCCCTGCCCATTCCAAGAATGTCATCCTGGGACACTTCAGTGCGATTAGCGCCGTCCTGATTATTCCGTCTTAGTGTAATACCATCTGTTTCAGATAAGTGCTCATTCAAATGCTGAGCTGTATTCAAATGCTCATTGTCAGGAAGCTGCTTCTTACAGGGTGACAGGAGTTCGTCACACAGGGCGCTATCCTCCTTCGTTGTGAAGGTTCCGTCCATCACAGAACACCTGATGACTTTTCTATCACTGTGTGCCCAGTTCTTAAAGTTCCCCTTTGCAGTCTCATTCCTGAGACTCACCATCTCCACCTCTTGCTTCTCATCCTGCTCTAGCAGAGAGACCTGCCTGCCCTGATTTGAGGTCTGTATGGCGCTTTGGTCTAACTGCTCTTCAGTCAGAACCTCAGTCTCCTCAGATAGCCGCAGTTCACGGATCTTCAGGTTCTCCTCCATAATCTGCTCCTCCAGAACACGGAGGCCTCTCAGCTCCTCAAGTAGATCACACCTTCCAGCTTGTTTACCATTTTCGGACACCCCATGAGCGTCACTTTGTCTGAGGTCACCGACGTCACTCACTACACGTCCACAGGGGCCACATTCTGCACGTTCACCAGAACAGGCGAAGCAGCTATCGTCAAATTCGACACCAGCCTCCAGCCAGTCTTTGGACGGCATTGCCACCTGCAAAGACAGACCTCATTAAACACATCGTTACCCTTTTCCATGTTCATTGGCTTCCACTTTCCAAAATGGTCCCTTCCACATTACAACAGAATCTAAATAACAGCTTCCTACAGTTTAATTCACCCAATATATATATATATGTCACCTTATGTTATGAATTATTAGGACAAAATCAGGGCTTGCAGGTGTAAAACTCAAGACAAGTAGAAGACTGCATTAACAGACACTGAGCGCATTAGACAGAACTTTCCTGAGACATTGACAAATCCCACCAGTGACTGAACGGGTTGTAGTTGACAGTTATCATCCCTGGAGCCGCGAAATACGGAAACGCGACTGTGAATTTCCACAAGGTTTCTAATACAAGGAGGTAGTTTCTTAAATTATAACTCTGGCCACAGTGGCAGAGAAGGACTCTGAACAAACTGCTGGCCATGATGGATAATGTCAGGCAGCCTCTGCACACTGTCATTAACAACCAGAGGAGTACGCTCAGTGACAGCATGCTACTCCTCACATCCAGAACCGACACTGTCATTAACAACCAGAGGAGTACGCTCAGTGACAGCATGCTACTCCTCACATCCAGAACCGACACTGTCATTAACAACCAGAGGAGTACGCTCAGTGACAGCATGCTACTCCTCACATCCAGAACCGACACTGTCATTAA